GTGTTGATAGTGGTGTATTTCCTGATCTTATGAAATCTAGTAAAATTATTCCCTTATTCAAATCTGGTAGTACATCTGACCCAACTAACTTTAGATCTATCTCAGTACTACCAGTATTTAGTAAAATTTTTGAAAAAAATATGTATGATCAATTGCAAAGTTTTTTTAATAATAATAATTTAGTACACAATAGACAATTTGGTCCACAACTGATGCTAGTGTTGAGCTAGTAAAACATAGATTTGATGCCTGGGAGGATGCCCACGATTCTCTAGGTATCTTTTGCGATTTATCTAAGACTTTTGATCGTGTTGTTCATGAAACGCTGATCAGGAATTATGGTATCAAAAATGGAGCCCTGGAACTACTTGCCTCATATCTATGTAATAGGATTCAAAAAGTTGATATTAATGGTGAGCGGTCTCCAGGCTCTGTGGTAGAATTGGTTGTTCCACAGGGTTCTATTCTCGGCCCTTTTTTGTTTTTAGTATATATTAACGACTTACCTCACTTTGTCAAGGACAATCTCGAGATTGTGTTGTTTGCAGATGATACATCACTATTATTTAGACTAAAACGGACACTTTCTGATTTCACATTTGTAAACAGCGCCATTTAGAAAGTGGTTCATTGGTCTGACGTCAACAATTTACTATTAAATGAACAAAAAACTAAGTGTATACGTTTCACTATGCCAAACGTCAAGCCAGTGAAAACTACTGTGATAATTAAGGATGTCGGGCTGGACCTTGTGGACACTACGACATTTTTAGGTATAACACTAGATGCTAAGCTACAGTGGGGCCCACATATTGATAAATTGTCGAGTAGACTCAGCTCAGCAGCATACGCAGTAAGGAAAATCCGAGAGTTGACTGATGTTGATACAGCACGACTTGTTTACTTCAGTTACTTTCATAGCATAATGTCGTACGGTATTCTGCTGTAGGGGAATGCTGCCGACATTCAAACTATTTTTGTGCTGCAAAAGAGAGCTATTCGAGCACTTTATAATTTAGGCAATCGTTGTTCATTGAGGCAGAAATTTAAAGAAATAAATATAATGACAGTGGCAAGTCAATATATTTATGAAAATGTAATATATGTTCACAAAAATAAAGAGCTTTTTAAAAAAAAGTGATGTACATGCCATAAATACCAGAAATAAAAATAAACTTGTTGTACCCGCCTCTAGGCTCCAAAAGATAAACAAGTCTTTTCGAGGTCAATGTGTCCGATTTTATAATAAAATCCCAAATAATATTCAGGAGTTGAGTATTAACAAATTTAAATCCGCAATAAAACGTGGCTTGTGCCAGAGGGCCTACTACTCGATTGTGGATTACATGGAGGACAAGAATGCTTGGGATTAATTAGCGCAGGCTATTTCTTTCTTAAGTAAAAATGTGGTGTGGCTAGTATGTTTTTTATTATTATAATTTTTTCAATTTTTATGTTTCACTTCATTTTCTCTTGTATTCCTTTTTTCTTCTTAGTCTTGTTTTCTCTTCATTGTCTTTTCACCTTTTAGTCCTTAATAACGAACATACTAGCACATATCAAAACAATGTTGTGATATATTTAATAGTGCCATTGTATCTGGCTGTGAATTGCAAAAGAGTGGCCATGAGTTTGTTTGCCCTTTCTTCTCATAAGGCTCAACCCCTTGGAAACGGGCGGTTGTAGATCGGCACAGGCATATCATAGATTTTGTATGGGTTTGATTTTTAATTTTTTTGGCTTGTTCTATTCATGTTTAGTATAAAAAAAAACATACATTAAATACTTTATATTTATAAATTGTTTTTCTCATTCCTTATCTCCTAAACCACCAACAACCCCCACCACCACCACCACCACCTAGGTTTGCGGTTACAAATACATATAAAATATGCCTTTGTTATAAAGTTTCACCATTCGCAAGTATAAAATACATAGGTAGTTAACATACACCATGTACAAGTGTCCTTTTTGTAATGTTCTTGTTCATAATAATCAGTTAATTGCTCATTCAAGAACGAAACGTCATAAGTTGCTTTGCAAACAAGATGGTGGAGACTATTTCACATATGTTATAAACTCAGCATACAAGTGTAGAATAGTTACATATCGAATCAATGGAACATCAAGTATTTTGGAGCCAAAAATATATCTAAACAAAGTCGCGACTAAGGTACAACGGATACTCAGGCTTGAACTGGAAGCTAACTCAAACATCAAGGTTAACTTGGAACTTTTCTGCACTTATATTATCAGACGAGATGAAGAAGTGATTAGAGATCTGAAATCTTTGAATATGAAAAATGGCGCCACCAGCACCTGAACGCCTTTGCCTTGAACAATCAATCACAACAAGTGGTGTTCTTGTTTTGAAATGAGCTGGATTTATCTGAATATTTGAGCTCTTTAAGTTGTAATACTGCCTCTTAAAGTCTGTGAATGCTTCATACAATACGGAATACACTCCTTTGGCAAAGTCGTTGGCAAATGACTCATAGGAATAGTACTGGGAGTTAAGATATAAACGTGCATTGTAAAAATTACTGTGATCAAAGATACTTTTATCTTTCGCCGCGTCATTATCACGTAAATGTTGAAATCCCAATATTACAAATCGAGGTTTTTCCAGCTGAGTGCTGTCTTAACGGTCCATACATGTTTTTGTGAGGTTGGTAAAACGGGATACTCGTAAAGATCCCACGATCGGAATGCTATTGGAATGGATATATTACTTTCCACATATTTTAATAGACGTAGCTTTTCCTTATCGGATACTTTAACTATGGGCACACGCCACGCAATACGGGTTACCACAATTTCCATCCTTTTAGTGGTGTCTTTGACTAACGTACAATTCAAATCTGAAGAACTGCAATTCAAAATCAGTTCATGTTTTGCATTCACAATCACCTTGTTATAATCCTCCGCGAAACCCAATAGGTGTCGCAGTGGAATGGTAAAACAGAACTCTCCATCGATCTCCTTAAAACCATTCGTGTTCCAACCGCTATTTTCCAAGGTCTTATTCTCTTCCTCACCGTTGGATAGGATTCCTTCATTGAGGCGTTGGGTTTGCGGGTGGCCCTGGATAAGACGGAGGCCCTATTATTTCATGGGCCCCGTCGGCTCGGTCCTCGTACCGGTCCGGGCCCAGATGAGGTACCTGGGTCTGGTCCTAGACGGTAGGTGGCTCTTCGACGAGCACTTCCGACAGCTTGGTCCGAAGCTGGTGGACACTGCCTCCGCCCTAGGGCGACTTTTGCCCAATTTGGGCGGGGCCAGTGTTCCCACGAGGCGGCTGTACGCGGGGGTTGTCCGGTCCATGGCGCTTTATGGTGCACCGGTGTGGGTGGCGGCTCTGACCGCCCCGAATAGGGCGCGCCTCTGGCGCCCCCAGAGGATATTGGCGGTCAGAGCCATACGCGGATACCGCACGGTGTCCACCGAGGCGGCTTGCGCCTTGGCCGGAACACCCCCGTGGGATTTGGAGGCGGAAGTGCTCGCCGAAGTTTATCGGCGAGTGGCTGACTTCCGGGAGGAGAGCGGATTTCGCCCTCCGCCCGAAGACGTGCGCGAGTGGCGCGAAGCAGCTCGCCGAGCCACCATGGTCAGATGGTCATTCCGGCTGGAGACTCCACGGGCTGGCTTCGCCGCCGTGGAGGCTCTCCAGCCGGTCATCGCTGAGTGGGCAGGGCGGCAGCACGGGACCCTTTCCTTCCGGCTGACGCAGGTGCTTTCCGGACACGGTTGCTTCGGAAAGTACCTGTACTCGGTCGCTAGGAGAGAATAGAGTCCCGCCTGCCACCACTGCGACTGCAGTGAGGATTCGGCCCAGCACACGCTGGCGGTTTGCCCCGCATGGGCGATGCAGCGCCGGGCCCTCACTGCAGTCATCGGAGCAGATCTCTCGCTACCGGCCGTAATTCGCTCCATGGCCGGTAGCGACAGTTCTTTTACCACAGTCGCAACCTTCTGCGAGGAGGTAATCTCGCGGAAGGAGGCGGCGGAGAAGGCCCTGGAGGACGACCTCCACTCGGACCTGATCCGCCGCCGGCGAACCGGGCGGCGGAGGCGCGCTCACCTGCGCCTCATGCCGCCCTGAGTGTGGCCGCGGGTGGACGGGATGGTTTCTCCCCTCCATGAATGGGTCCAGAAGGCGATAACTACCTGGACCCCTCCTAAACTGGAAGCGCAAAGAGGGCACACCGTGTGGTGTTAGTCGGTTCGAGTCCGACACACCGCCCCGCCGAACGAGAGCCCCGGCGGGGTGACAGTCCGAGGGGATTTCCACACGTTGAAAAAAAAAAAAAAAAAAAAGGTATAGGATTCCTTTCATTGTAGTGGTGACGCCGCAATTTTTCGTTCTATCAATCTCCACACCATTCAATTCGTATCGAATGTCATGGAATAGGTAAGCTGGTCCATTATTGATGAAAGTAGAATTTTTCGTTGTTGTACCTTCAACTATGAGTTGGCTCTCACAAGGTAACACTATGGTATCCATATCGTTGATGCGTATACGAATTTCATCGTTGTTTTTATATGATTCATGATAAGGAGTGTATGAGTGGTATTCAATACCCTCAATACTATCATCAAACAGTACACTTTAATCAATGTTTAAAATGGATGATGATGGCATTTTATTGTTAAAATTGTAGCCCCAGTGATTGTAAAAATAAATAATTATCTTTTCTTAATCTTTTTTTGAGGTGTTTCGGCTGCTGTTGTTTTGGTTGATTATATATGTCAATGTCGAATGATGGTTTAGCTGTTGTCTCCAACGTGATGCTAGGAACACTATGACCTAATGTTGGTTGATTGTTGACTTTATAGACGATCATATCGATTTATTTTTTTCTTATATGAAGACGGAGTGATATGTTCTCTTTCCTCAAGTTGACAAGGCCCCCTTGTTCATTCACTAGACGTATATGGAGATTTTGAATCGTATTCACCTTCAAAGGCAAGTAAACCGGGTGTGATGGACACTCAATAATTTAATATCCGGGTGGCACTGATGGTGAGAATTCGTAAAGCACATGTGATGATTCGTTATTGATGAATGAACCTTGAATAATATTACACTCTACTCTTATAGAATTGGTGATTAGGATGTTTATCGCTTGATCTGATTCATGTAGTTGATTTTTTGGAAACAATTTTTGTGGAAAACGAAAAATTCTTCCAATACTGTTCTCTCGCTCGAAATGTATATCATAATATGGAGAGTGAAATGAGCATTTCATTGTATTCGTGTTGGCTTCTATATCGATTAATTTAAAGGGATCATCCTTGGCTTCTCGCAAAAGTTCACGCTCCAGATATTGAATGATATCGTCCAGTTCATAAGAGCCCTCAGGAATCGTGATGACGTTGTCTGCACCATAATGAAACAGATTATTACTCTCATCCACATTGGGTATCGAGTTGAATGTTTTCAAGTAAATTAGCGCGCATTCAAATTCACCCTCACCCAATTCTATGGGAGGCAGAAAATTCACACTTAATGTAGACTCGGTTCCGTTAAGTGAGAAGGTAAGAGACATGGTCACTTGTCTATAAAAAGACGTAACATGATGAAACCTTTAAAATGTTGCATTTATATTTTATTAAACATGTGTTCACACGCATTTGACAGAAAACGTAAACACAAATGTCCACAGTTGTACTTCACATTCTTTTGTACATTGTTATAGTTGTAAGTGATATGTGTGATGATCAATGTTTACACCCCCTCTAGATAGATAATCGAGAAACTCTTGTGGTGGTCTCAAGTCTCCATAGCTGTCAAAGTATTCACAATGTTGGTCTTTCTTCACGTATGCTACCCAATGTGTACGTGGTCCTTGTGCATTGTCTAAATTAATAATTCCCCTTTCAAACCTCCACGGTTGTGATTTTCGTTGCTGTCGTTGTTTTAACGTAGTCAGCTCATCTCGCATTACCACACCCCGAAAATGTGGGATGTTTAATTGTTTGACGTATGATGCGATTTCATAATCGAGGAGAGCACGATTCGGTAGGACAATGTTCACTTTTTTTGGTATGGTGTCATATAGAGACCCATACCCTTTTTGTAGGGTGCCATGTACATGCTTTTACCAATAGCTACCGGAACCAAACGCCGTCCGGGATTAGTAGTAGGCTCTTTTGATTTAACCATTTCATAGATGTTTTTAGCAGCGGTTGTCACTCCACCAGCTAGAAATCCGGCGGCTGCCAACGCTCCTAGGATTGATATCAGTAGTATGAACCCACCTCTTTTAGGTAGAGGAATAACCCTGGGTTTTTTCAAATAATGTTTTCCGTTTTTATTCTCACTGATCCTTTTTTTGGCAGCTTTTATCGCCGTGTTTATCAGGTGTTTTTGTGTGGGTGGTTTTTTAACACCAGTTGTATTCAATTTGATTTTTTACCGCTTTACGGGCTGCTTTTATAACTTGTTTGAGGGGTAGCCCCATACATTGTTTTATTTTGTATTTCATTATTTTATTAACTCCGAGTTCTACCAATCTTTCGGATAGGCCGTTCGATTCACGCCAACGCCTCGCTGCACTTGCTGCTGTAGGTGTATGTAATTAGGTCACAACACCAATAATAAATATATGTGGGTAGGAGGCCCGATGAGGCGCCGGCTATTGAAATAAAGATCAATCTTGGTTTAGACGCTGTTTGATTTACTTGTCCCCTTGCTCCCTATATGACATGTTCTAACGATGCGTTTTGAGCGTATGCAATATCGTGTGATTTACACGCCTCATCTAAAGGGTTGATGCCTACGTTACCTCTCTTCAAACGTTTTTCCAGATTTGTACCGGGTCCACAATAATTGTATCCGGACACATGCAATTTAAACGGTAACTTGTTGATGAGTGTATTGACCAGTCCACTTCCACCTTTAACTACAGCGTCCGGATGACTGAGATAATTGTTATATGGCATTATGATTTTATTATAATGAGAAAGAAAAGTCCAACCACACGTGATTCTAGCACAGATATTTAAAACACATGTAAACTAGAATATTAGCTTTCAACACAATGAAGTTCAAGAAGCAGAACAGGCTCTTATCAGTCAAGGGGTGGGATATAAAATCGAAAGGTGATAACGATTTTTCAATCATCATCGTACGTAACGATTGTTCATTGGGATACGTTCTTAAAATTGTGTACGGTGTGTTGGCAAGACAAATATGGATTCGTGGTAATTAGTAAAGATAATGATATAAATAATGGTCGATACCGGAGAGGTTTGGATGATTTTATAAGTGTTTAGTTCATAATCGCAATAGCATAAAAGCTGTCTGTATTGAAAATCTCTTCACATTTCACCATGGACTTATCAACAACAACAACACAGATCTTTGGCGATAAGGAGCTCAAACGAAAACTAATTCAATTAGTGAGTTTAGTGAAAAAGAAAATAAAGACATTAAATGAAGGTAAAGCGGAATTAACGTCCACCTTGCAAGAAACATTTCAACCGATCACACAACCCTTAAATACTCTACTTAATCAAATCCAATCAAATCCTCGGGTGGAAGCAGCTGAGATCAAAAAAAGTATTAAAAAAGAAAATGTTGACACTAAAAAAGATCCCACCGATGATGATGATGAAAATGACTATATAGACGCTAATAGTGGTGGTGGTGATGAACGTCATGGAGCAAATGCATCTCAACGGACAAAAGACACTGAAAACACGCGTGATGCTATCAATCCTATAGCACAAACCTACATTGATAGGATTATCATTGATCAGACTAAAAAAATACCCTACGGTGTTTATCTCACTCCAAATGGTTATTATATAGGCAACAGTACAATTGATTTTGGTGTAAACTAGTTGACAATTCAAAATGAGAAGTTTAAATACACATCTGGATTGTTGGAACTCTTGTTTAAAATAGAACCTAATACATCACTCATTCAACCATCGGATAGTGATAACTACTATAGAATAATTATGATAAAAAACGCGCATAGACGTAACTTCTCGTCCGACGGTCAAATACAAGGTGATAAGAGTCTCAAATACAATACATACATGAAGCAGGCAAATTCAACGCATCCTTCACCTAGTATAAAAAAAAGTAGGTGGATGTCTGAAGCAATCATCAACAAATAAAGATTCTGAAACGTCAGGTCTGTTAATGAAGAATTACTTCCAGAACACAGATTATATATATTGGGATGACGTCTTGTAGGCAGAAATGCAGTGCTTTACTTGCTATTCAGAGACATTTTAATAAAACGTTGGTACGTTTTAGATGACTTTAATTATTAGTAAATAAATGAAAAAACAAAATATAATAACTTAAAACGCGTACTATTTACAAATAGCATAGCACCACATAAACATTGTTTGCCAGGTGTTTACCGAAAAGCAAGCGCAAAGCAACTCATGCCGTCGCCTCGCGCAGGACATTTGTTCGCATGTGTTTAGTAATTTTGGTGTCCGTGCACAGTTCGCAAACGCACACACCCATTTATTTTATATCCCTGACTACTGCAGTTGGCCGTTCGGGTAAATCCACCCAATTACAATAGTCAGAAATATAATAAATCATGTATGCGGATTATGAATTTTGAATATGGTAAGGTTTTATTTGTTTAATTAGCAGATATGTTTCTTGTTCGCGGGGGCCATTTTGATTTTTTCATGTGATAAGCATTGTTTACTATTTTCTTTTCTTTCCGCCAGTATAATTATAGTTTTATTTGAAAGTGAGTACATTTAACACTTTATTACTAAGTTCCGTTGATTTTTTAAAAATGTTATTTGATTGTGAGTTATGTGTGGATAATGTATGTCTATTAAAAATTAAAAAAACAAGTTCTCACAATTGCCATTCAGTGAAAAGATTAAAATTGTGTATAAAGGTAGGTGTGTACCCGAGTTACAACAATTAAACCAGCAAAAAGGAAATGTAACTCGCAAGTTTCATGTTAAAAGTTATGAAACGTATAACTGGCTGTGTGGTTGTGTACACACGATTAAATTATATTGTTTTCCTTGCATACGGTTTAGTAATTCTAGTACAGTGTGGACTGATTCAGATTTAAATAATTTCTATTCCGCAGCAAAGAAGCATGATGCATGGTGAGTAGTTATTATATTTTGATGACGTCAATGAGCTTGTAGATAGATTACGTTTGCTCGTAGCTTCACAAAACGCTGGTAACACTGCTCATGGAAATGAAATAATTTCCATCATTGAAGAATTAGTGGAAGCTAATATAATTGAACCGATAGAACAACAACTTCTAGTGAATTATTCAAAATAACTCTCATCCACACACGCACACACCTTTATTGCAAGCATGGCTGTCAATAAGTTTGGATGTTATCTTCAGCAAAACAAATCTAGTAAACCAACTTCACATCTTCTACGGGTTATGAAAACACAGGTGGATCGAAAATCGTTTGCTTAGAAACGTTAGTAAGGGAATTCTAAAATCAAATGTAGTCATAAAGGCACAACTCGATTAAGTTTTGAACTTGTGTTTGACTAAGATTAAAGAAATCTCCCGAAAGCAAAGAATTTTGAAAACCTTAGAAATCATCAATCGGATATACCACCGCCACCACCACTACCACCTACACCAACACCACATCCATCGCCACAGTTACGCACCAAGGAAAAAATAATCCAAAACCACCAGTCAAAACCCCATTGAAATCTACTATGAGCAAGAAGCAGTTTGTTCAGGAGCTTCATAAGAGTGCCCGTAAAAACTTCCCACGAAGACGCTTCATACAAAAGGCACTTGATGACACATGGCAAATAGATCTGATTGACATGCAAAACTATGCTAAATACAATAATGGTTTTAAATACATTTTATTTATTTATTTATTAGGTTAACTCACACCACATATATGTAACATTAATGGTAAAATTTCAGTAATAAGGTTGTCCCAAAAAACAACTTAGGGATTTCCAACAGTATCGACAGGAGCCACTTCCAAATAAGACACCAAGGTAGCCTAAGATCCATTTTATTAAAAAACCAAAAGTTCCCTTATATACGCGTGTCGGCAACAAACAATATCGACATCTAATTCGCCGACAGCGCCATCTGTTGAGCGATCGGGAAACACGAATAAATATTGATTGACACTGCCGCCTTAACATGCCCACTAAGGACGACAGTCCTTGAGTTAGTTTTCGAACAGAACCCAAAAGAAAACAAAAATCATACATAACAATAAAATCAAACGATATAAAGCTATTAACTATTTCTAATTGGATAAAGAAGAAGCACTTACGTATCAGCTAAAGACAAAACATACATTTTTGAAACAGGTCTCTTTATGAACGAATTTTTATATTTCAAAGTAACCACTCTAGTGATATTATCTACGCCAGAGTGAGTTTTAACAACTTTACCCATTAACCATCTCGCTGGCGGTAGATCTGGTTCCTTAACCAAGACAACATCACCAATCACTGGTTCCGGAGTTAAACGATTCCACTTACGTCTTTGCACTAAACTGGCGAGGTATTCTTGAGACCATCGTCTCCAAAAATGCTGAACCATGCGTTGACACAATTGCCATCTTTTTAAAGTACTTAGTGTGACTTGCTCAAAATTACGTTCAGGGGGCAAAATCAGTGGTTCGCCGACTAAAAAATTACCTGGAGTTAAGGGTGTTATTTCATCTTGCTCCTCCATATAAGATATTGGTCTCGAATTGAGACAGGCCTCAATTTGCGCCAATAATGTTGACAGCTCCTCAAAAGTCAAGGTGGAATCGCCAATAATCCTTCTTAAATGATGTTTCGTGGATTTCACCCCGGCTTCCCATAATCCTCCAAAGTTGGGAGCGTGTGGAGAAATGAAATGCCACTGAGTCCCATTGGTAGCTAACCAATCTGAAATTTCGTACATAAAGGTGGATTTTTCTTCGTCGAAAAGGATTTGAAGTTCGCGTGCTGCTCCTACAAAATTACAGCCATTATCACTGTACAGATTGCTGCAGTGACCTCGTCTTGCCACAAATCTCATGAACGCAGATAGGAACCCCTGACTCGTCAAATCACTGACAGCCTCCAAGTGAATTGCTCTGGTGGACATGCAAATAAAAAGACATATGTATCCTTTATAGGATTTATTTCCACGACCCTTTGAAACTCTAATATTCATTGGCCCAGCATAATCGACTCCGCAAAATAAAAAAGCTCTAGTTGCGGATACCCTCTCTACTGGCAATTGTCCCATCAATTGGTTTCTATTTTGAATGCGATAACGCGCGCACGTAACATTTTCGGTAATGCAATTTGACCAAACCCTTTGCTCCAATGATCAAGAATTTTGAGCGGATATAATTTAACGAAAGCTGAGGACCTCCGTGCAAGGTTTTCAAGTGCGCATCCGCCACAATAAGTTTAGCCAAAGGAGCCTCGCGAGGGATTATTATCGGATGCTTTGTATCTTCTTCTGCCTGAGCCAGTTGCAAACGCTCACCGACACGAAGAATCCCGAATTCATCTAAATACGGATTCAAGGAAGCATGTTTAGACCTGATCTTTACACCTTTACCATCTGTGATATCTTGTATTTCTTGTTTAAAGTAATTTCTCTGACATTGTTTAATCATGTTATTCAAAGCTGCATGTATCTCTTCCTTTAAAAGATGAAAATGTTTTGGTAACTTATCCTTATCTTTTTTCAGAAATCTTCTTCAATATGCCACTACCCGCAACAACCTCGATAGCGCTGAAAATTTGGAACATATATCTTCGTCCTCGGTTAGGGCAATATTAACAGACTTCATTGTTTCTTCCAGATTAGTGCTTAATATGTTTGGATTTGTGTACACAATTTTCTGATTTATCAACCATTTTGGTCCGTCTATCCATAATCGGTGAGTACTTATCTCCGAGGGTTTAACTCCACGTGATGCGGCATCTGCTGGATTCATATCTGACTTCACATATGCCCACTGGTTTCGATCTAAAATACAGATGATCGTTAATACCCGGTTACCAATGAAGGTCTTCCATTTAGACGGGTAACCGCTCAACCACGCTAAAACTACTTCGGAATCTGTCCAAGCATGCCAATGCTGTTTAGGAATATCCAAAACTGTACCAATTTCAATCAACTCCAAACGCGGTATCGACACCTGCTTAATAGGCGCAACTCTCGTCTTGGCTGATATGAGACTGACCTGGATACTGCCTTCGTATGTAACCGAACGTAAATAGACTACAGCCCCATACGCAACGTTAGATGCATCACAAAATCCATGGAGCTCCACCTGGCGATCAGTACCTTTACACTTCATCCATCGACACAATCGGAAATTGGTAAGTTGTTTCAAGTTTTCGCGATACTCAAACCAATCGTCCAGTAGTTCACTCGGTAGTTCTTTGTCCCATCCTAAACCTGTTAACCATAACCTTTGAATGAATATTTTTACAGTTATGATACTCGGAGCTATCCATCCTAGAGGATCATATAAACGTGATATATCGGATATTATTTTCCTTTTTGTTACAGGTGCAGATATAGCTGGTAAATTAACTGCGTACTCAAATTCATCTTGGATCTGGTTCCAGGTAAGTCCTAATATTTTATTTTTTCCTTCTATAAATTGCTCTTCAAATCCTTTACCCTCCTCTATTCCCTTTACACCGCTTCTCTTTGATTTCTTAATTATTTCTGTCATTACTTCCTTATTATTACTTTTCCATTTTTGTAGTACAAAGCCGCCTTTATGTAGTAAATCGTTCAACTGATCATATATTTCCGTTGCTTCCGTTTCTGTTTCACATCCCGATAGATAATCATCCATATAAAAATCCCTTTTTACTCGATCCGCCACCGATAGCAAGC